GGAAACCTCAATGCCACGGGACAGAACTGCTGGCTCCCCTGTGACTCCTGCATCAGGTGCTCCACATAGATGTGTTACTCATGTCCACACGAGACAGGAAAACATCCTTTGAAGGTTAACAGATACCAAGGGAAATGTATATTGAATTAAGACCAAACTTGAAGAGAAAAGCAATGTCCACACCCAGCAGGGCCCTGCTCCTGCGTGGATTCTCGTGTTTGCAGAGCCTGCTGTGAAGGCTACCTAAAGCTGGCCACTCCAGGGGCAGAATGGGTGAACCCGCAGGTGAGACATGTTCCTACCCACACCCTTCCCTCCTCTGTGGGTGCTCAGGGAGAGTCTGCTGCCAGGAGAGGGAAGGGGAAGCAGGGTGTGGGGCCAACCCCAGCGGCATCGTATAGAAGCCAAGCGGGTCCTCCCACAAGACAGGGTGTGCACTGGGAGAAGGGAGACACCCCCTGTAGCGCTCACATGTGCTACCACCTGCCGGACAGAGGCACTGAAGCCACCTGGTTTCCTTCTCACATCACACAGGACGAGGGGCTACAGGTGGTCATGAGGCCCACGGGTTGCAGACAGGGGAAGAACTCGACTGAAGGAACATGTCTGCAGTCTACCCCTGCTGTGACTCTCAAGTATGACCTGTGAATGAACATTCATGTGACACACGTGTGGAAAGGTGCACAACCTCTTCTCTAGGACAGTGAGGAACGTGTGCTCTGGGAACACGGGCCCTAAGTGTGGCTCCACCATGTGCCAGCCTCTGACTGAGGGTGCAGCTGACCTCTGAGTCTGTTCTGGGTGCTGGTGGAGTGTGCTGCAGGGCATGGCCAGACCAGAGAGAATTCAGGACACGTGCACAGTCAAAGCCAGGTCCGACCACAGGTGGGAGTGGCACTTGGTTGGGACAGGGAGGAGTTGTTACGAGGTGTGGCTGCATACCACGTGGAGACGTGGATGAGGAGAAACTGTCTCATACTAAATCAGTGTATCAGACGCATTGTAATTTGTGGACAATTGCCATTGGAAAAACAATAATAGACTTCGATTAGCATATGCCACATGGTCCACATGCCAGATGGATTTTTGTCATAGATGTCTTGGCTACAATACTGAATCAATCTGGGTTTCAAGTCATTATCAGCTCCAGTTTTGAGACTTTGGTGAGAATGCTCTTGGCGTGGAAACATCTTCCACGTGCTCTGTAGGCGTCCAAAACCATCACTGCTGTCCATGTAGTCTGGCTGAGAGGGAAATATTTTTTGGCAATAAAATTAGTTTTTACACGATCTTTTCTTATGTCATTAGGTAGCAAAATCACTCGTGTCCTTTCGTTTGTGTCTGCATTCGTCTCAGGGCTTTCTCCATGACAGGTGGCTGGAGGGCAATCATTCAGTTCCTCCTACATAGGCAGAAGATGGTCCGGGAAGGCCAGGAGGCCCAAGAATGGAGAGAAAGAGAGCTGAGTAGAGTGATGGGGGTCAGGCAGGGGAGGGGAGGGCAGAGCTTTGGCTAGTGTAGGGGCTATAACTCTTCACACTGACGCTTTCCTATGAGACACCTCTGAAGAGTCCCCTGTGAGAGACAGAGGAGAGAAGCAGTTGGTTTGGCTCCCTTCAGAACTGGATCCATTTTTATTTTGCAAACAAAAATGAGGCTTGTGGATGGTGGCAAATACTGCTTCACTTACCGAGGAAACAAAAGGGAAGAGGATTAGAACTCCGAAGTCCAGTGTGTGTGTGTGTGTGTGCATGAGATGTGGGTATACGTGTGGAGCGTGAGTGTCATGTGTGTCTCTGCAGGGTGTGATGTGTGTGCATGTGTGCTCAGGGTGTACTGAGGCTGGAGGAGACTTTTGGAGTTTGCATGTGTTTCCTGAGAAGGTGGGCAGTGCGCTAACTTGAGATACGCTGGGTTTTGAAGGTCAAGTGATGCATGTTAAAGGCAGGCTGGCCACTGTCAGTTTCCCCATGAATTTGCCTGCTTGGCCATGGCCCATCATCTGGTGTAGGTGTGGACCACACCAAGTTGCCCGTGGGCAGGAGCAGGTGGTGGTGTACTGGGTAGACTGGGGCCGGAGCTCCTTCAGGAGGATGTCACAGGCTGTGGAGCAGGAGACCTGTGTCTGCTGGCAATGTGTCTTTTTGCTCTGATTTATGGTCATAATTACTCTTAGCTGGTGGCTGATATTCACAGTGAAATATCTCTTCCTTATTTTTAGAGCAAATAACAACACACATAAATCAGGTTAGCATATCGAGTGCCAGGGTAAAATGTGCATCATGCCTGCAGCTCTGGCAATAAATCCCTTGCAATATTGCTGCCACTTTGCCTCCCGGGAGTATGGGGCTGCTGGCCCTGGGAGACCCTGATAGGTCAGCACTGGTGACAATTGCCCTAAAGTTGGGACCTGGTTCATTGATCAAGGCAGAGCCTGGAAGCACTAAACAGGCTTTTGTCTTGTTCCTTTCTAGCAGAGTTCAGTCACCTGCTGTTTCCTGGGCCAGATACCAACTCTGAGTGTGAGTCACTGCCTGGACCATGTGTCTGCAGGGTCCCAGTGTCCCTGTGAGTGCTGGGCACATATTATGATTGTGTGTACTGGGGCCTATGACCATTACCATGACAAGACATGCAAAGATCCTGCAGTACCAAGACTCAACTAAAATTTCCAATGTGGTCACACCTTGGGCACTTTCTGTTCTATCCTTCCTGCAGTGCCATCCAGCTTCTGCCCTCCCAGGCCGTGAAGAGAGGCAGGTGGCCTGGTGGGTGGCTGAGTCCCCACTGCTTAGCATCCCTGTAGGCTTCTGTGCCAGTCTGCTCCCCATTGTGGTGGCATAGCACCTGAAAAAAACCAGAGAAAGGTTTATTTCGGCTCATGGCCCATTGTTTTCCCTCTACGATCTTACTCCATTACTCTAGGACTGAGGTGATACTGAGCACCAGGGCCAGGGAGTGTGTGGCACAGGAAGTGGTAGCCAGGGACAGACAGCAAGAGTGAGGGCAGAGGAGGCCAGGGACCAGCATGCCCTTCAGGATATATCTGGTCTCTCCTCTTCAGCCAGGTCTCATCTCCTGGGGCTCCTTCTTGCCATCTCACCAGCTAAGATCAAGCCTTCAGAAGATGCCCCAGAGCCAGGCCATTGCCCTGCAGGGAGGTCATACAGGGGCACCCAGCGATGGCCCAGCAGGGCTGATTTCATGCAGTGACCTTGGGTCACTGCCTTTGCGGGGACCAGTCTGGCACCATGTCCTGCAAACCCGCACCTTCATGTCTGCTGAAGGGCAACCCTGAGGATGCTTTGCCACTGCCACCTGCCACCTTCCCTCACACCCTACTGCTCCACACCTGTGGATGCAGATGACGGGGAGTGCGGGGCAGGCCAGGCGGACTAAGGAGCTGTGAGCTCCAGGGGAGCCACACATGCAGATGTGCTGGAAGAACGTGGCTGTCTGCGAGTGTGTGCAATTCTCTCTGGAAAAAATAGGCTGCTGGTGTTGGGTGCAGGCTCCAGTGGGCATGGGGTGAGCAGGGGGTGGGCACAGGGCCGGCAGTGCAGCCCTTGACTGGGCATGGACCTGGGCTCCTTGTAGGTGGAGGTGCCCCTGGAACTGCTGCCCTTCCCTCTGGGGGGCTCGAAATGCTGTAAGTTCAGGAGGCTGCTGATGTGGATTTGCGGTGCCTCTGACCTTGTTTCCTGTGTGACGTTTATGTTTGGGTCCTTGTGGATCGTGGTTTTGGGCCATGTTCAAACTGATTATGTTTGATGTAGTCGAATGCTCTAGCTCTGAGGATTTTAGGGCAAGAAGTTAACAGTTCCACTTTGAAATTTCTCCGAAGGTGGATCCCTTTGTAGTTGTCAGCTATCTCCTAATTACTGGGTTCCCGTTCTTTCACTTACACTGGAGCCCAGCCTGGAGAGGCACAAAAGAATGGAGTCCCCATAGTCAAGGGGGAGAGTGTGTCCTGGGACAACAGCCCCAGTGCAGTGTGGAAAGTCCTGTCTGATACTTGGACAGAGTAACCAGCAGGCCAGCCGGGGACTCCGACTTTCTGTGTGGTTCTTGGTGGATGTGTAGGAGTCTGTCAGTTGAAGGAACAGGAGTAAAGAATGAGGCTTTGGCAAGGACACATCCTCAGGGTGTTGAAAGGCACTGTGTGTTCCAAACATACCGGATTTTGGTGGCCCTGGGGTGAATGTGATTATAGTGTTGGCCCTAGGACATTGGCCTCACCCTAGTTCCTGGCTCCTTATGCAGAGTGGGGGTGTCTTGTGTCCTTTGTCTGTGTCCAAGGTGAGTGCTGCACAGAGCACATGTGGCCTCCCCAGCCTGCTCCTATTCCAGTCCAATGTGGGGTTCCCAGGCCTCCTTTCTGGAGGATGGAACCCCAGAGTGAGGAGCCAGTGTTCTGTGCCCTCTCCAAGGGTGGCTGTCTCCTCTTCTGTCTCCTGTCTGACTTCATGTTCCTTTCCTCCTTCCTAGGCCCTGCTGACTTCTTTCTTCCCCATTGGTGGCCATGGTCACCTCTTGTTCCCCAGGTGCTCTGTCCTTGTCCTTCCCGGTGTTATGTGCTGATGCTGGTTTGTGGTACATGAGGGCTCCTGGAGGTCCTTGTCTGTCCTGATGCTGTGAGCCTGCTCCTTTCCTAGGAGGAGCCCTGGGGTCTGTGCCCCTGAGGAGCAGGAGGAGCAGAGAGGCTGGGGCCACAGGCAGAGAGGTGTTGCCGCCTCGTATGGATGAAGGTGGTGCAGAGGCCTCCCTTCAGGAGTGGCCCAGTGTGCGTAGGGCTATGCTGCATTACACCTGGTGTGGCTCTCCATGGCATGCTTGCCCGGGATGCCCAGGACCCTGACTCTGATCCACAGCACTACAAAACAAAAACCAGCTCCATCTCAAAGAAGTGGATCCACAAGGATCCTTTGCAACAGCATGTGGGTGATGGGGTCACCAATCTCTGTCCTGTCGCTGACTGCTGTCTCCTTGTCTCCCCCCAGGCTGCCTGCTAGAGGATGGCCTTTGCGGACCGACGGAGGCCTGCGTAAACGGTGAGTGTGTAGTGGCCAGGCTGGGTCTGTCTCTCCTGCCAGGTGGTCTTTTTGTTTCTCTCTCTCTCTCTCTCTCTCTCTCACATGCAGAGGGGTGGACCAGTGTCTCATCTGTGTCCTTTGTGTCTTAAGGTGGGTCATGAGGGGCTTTGCAGCTAGATACAGAGAGGCTCTGGGGTGGACTCCTAGTAGGGAGGTCCAGGGAGTCATGCCTTGTCCACCCTGGGGCAATTTACAGTTTGAACTCAGAAAATAAATCTGAAATCAGCGAAGGGACAAAGATACGCACAAAGCCACTTTCCCCAAAGTGAAGTGGGGCCTGTGTGTGGGGTACATGCCCTCTGGTCTTGGTCTGCTGCCCACCAGCTCTGCCTCACAGTATGTACATTGGCAAAGCTGCCTCTGTGTGCCCGACTTCTCTGCACAGAGGTGGTGATGGGAACCCTTCCGCGCCGGAGGGTGCCTGGTGTGCAGTGGGAGACCCTCGTCACTAAAGCCCAAGTCAGGTGCAGGTGGCCTTCCTTCTGGTGCACACTACTTGCTTTGGTCTGGAAGGCAAAAGCAGGGAGAGCAGGAGTCTCAGGGTGGCAGAGCTGTGCTCGTCTCTCTCCTGGGGAGAGGGTGCACTTGGCAGTCGGGAGCGTTCTCCCTTGTCTTGTTCCTTCTCAGGTAAGTTTCCACACAGCGTATAACAAGTGGCCTGGATGCAGGACAAGGAGAAGAGAAGTTTGTCAGGTGGCTCCTGGCAGCTTGGAGATGGATGTCACTACATTGGCTGTGTGGTCTCTGCCCAGCTGAACCCTAGGTTCCTTGGAATATACTTTGAACAGCTTTCCTTTGGAAGGAAAATTTAAAAAATAAAATTAAAATGTTATCTTCCCAAACTCAGCAGACTTTGCAGGTAAAGAAAGCAAGCGTGTGTTCGAGCTGACTGGAAATGTGTGCAGCACCAGCACAATAAAACCCGAAACTCTGTACCTACCTTTGACAGAAGGCAGCTCTGGACAGCATGCCATGACTGTTTAAGGTTTTCCTTTCTCTAAACTCCTCCTGCCTTCCTCGCATGCAGTTATGTTAAGATAATGGCCTTGCATTCTTTAGAAAAGAAAAAGCGAGTTAAATGGAAGGAGAAATCTTCAGGCCTTGGTTCACAGCAACAGGCGGTATTTGGCGTCTTTTGTAGTACAGTTCAGTCTAGGGGCAGCAAGCAGACCTCCTCACTTCTCCAACCGCGTCCCAGGCTCTGGTAGGAAGCAGTGAGAAACAGCACATCCTGCTGCTTTTGCTGCAGCCTAGATTTACGGTTGTCATGGTGACCCTATAGTGGAGCAGATAGCTGGTTGGCCACGGGGTGTGGCAGCCACACTGAGCACAGGAAGTCCGTAGTGTTCCAGAATATGCAGACTTCAATCTTTCTCTTTCTCCCCGGCTCTTTTTTCCTGTGATGAAAGTAGAAATGCATAATCCCATGAGCTTATACATATTTTCTAAAAGCCTGACAGGCCTTTGTTAGTAAAAATGGAAATGCATGGATCAAATAAGGTACTTTCTGTCTTAGTTACTTTTCTTGCTGCTGAGACAAAATGCAGCCAGCCTGATTTATGGACAATGTAGGTTATGACCAGAATTTTAGTTTTAACTTATATGACCGAAATGCCAGCTGCTTATGCTTCTAAATGGTTTTAGATAAAGATTTAAATCTTAAAGTGTTCTGGAAGGAACATTATAGCATTCTTCCTGTGTGGGGGTTAATTGAGGAATCCTGGGACAATGTCTCTCTGAGAACACTGAGATCTGCCTCTGTGCAGGAGGAGAGAGGCTTTGAAGACTGTAGAGGAGCCTGGGCCTTCAATTGAAAATGTGAGCTACAAACAGCCCTCAGAAATGAATCGAGTTTGTAAGCCAAGGGCCCACTGTGCCCAATTCTTACAAGCTAAGGGAGGAAAGGATTATTTATCTCAAAGTTGTAGAGATTTTAGTTCATAATTGACTGACTCTAAGGTAGGGTCGCATCGCAGACAGGTATCACAGAGGAGGAATAGTATATGGCGGGCAGAAGGTATTATAGGAAGCAAGCGGTGGCCACAGCTCTTACTATCCCTTGTATCTTATCCAGGCTACTTTTTAAAAAGATCTTTCCTTTCCTGCTCACTAGCTGCAATCTTGCCTTCGAGGTCTGAAATTCTATCTTCACTTTGGTTGAGGCGGTTTTGACAACTTTCAATGAAATTTTTGATTTCCTGTATATCTCTTTGAATCTGCTTCGTGTATTCTGTTTCTTATATTGTTCATCCAGGGATTCTATCTTTTTGTTTTGTTCCTCTAATTTTTTAACTGTGTCTTCTTTAGATGTGTTCAGCATCTCTTTCATTACTTTTATCATTTCTTCTTTTACTTGGAAGATTATTTCTAGTTTGAATTCCTTTAAAGCTTCCTGGAGTTGCTTCTTCATTTCATTTGCTATTATTTCAGGTATTTTAGGTGTATGGCATATATTTTCTTCTATGGGAGGTTTGAGATTGCATTTTGGTCATTCGTTTTGTCATTTTCCTATATTTCCCTGTTTCAAGTGTTGTTCCAAGGCTTCCCCTGGGCCTGTTGGAAATCATCTTTTACGCCCTCAGCTCCTGGGACTCCGACCGCCCAGTTCCCTGGATTGAGAGAAGTTCACTGCGTGGCCCAGGCAGGCCTGAAACCTGCAGAGCTGGTTGGGTGTAGCAGGAAGTTGGGAGGTTTCTTGACCACTGGGAGGAATGATCTTAAACTCTCCTTATCCAGGTTACTTTGAGTGGGCATCACTTACACCCTTAATTCTACTGCCCTTAATAGCAGAATTGCACCATGAATCAATCCTAGAGTCACACACGTGAGATCCAGCTACCTCTAAAAAAGCTGCTCCCCCATGACTGCGTGAGGCTTTGGGGGAACGTCTAGACACAAGACATAACATTTCATAAGGTCAAAAGATAAATCTGCTTACCAACCCTCACCTATTAGGATTACTATCTGTTTTAATCACTTTCTCCTCATTGGGACAAAAAAATCTCACACCAACAATTTAAAGGAGGACAGTATTATTTTGGTTTGCAGTTTCAGAAGTTTCAGTTCATGGTTGTCGGTTGCTTCAAATACAGACATGGCATGGTCGAAAGGCTTGGTGGAAGAAAGTGACTCATGTCATGGAGGAAAGGAAGTAGAGAAAGAAAGGAAGAACTGGGGAGGGAGACTAAACTCCTCCGGGTCAAACCCAGTGAATCAGGCCCCACTTACTACAGCATGCTCAGCTGGGGAACACAGCAGTGGGTGAACCCACTGATTAACAGAGTGCCTTGGGATCAGAGTGCATTCCAAGAGCCCTCTCTCTAAGTGTATGAGGCTTTTGGGGGAAACTTGGCTGTAAACTATGACACTACTGTAAGAAAAAACTAAGCACCAGCAAGCATCTGGGGAAGTAAGTGGGGATGTTAAAGGTTCAGTGCTGTGAAGAACAGCATGACTGTTCCTCGGAAAGTTAAAGACAGACATGATCCACCAATCCTGCTTCTGTATATGTCCCCAGAAGAGTGAGCAGCAAGGACCTGAAGGGGTTCTCTAACACCTGTTAGCACTGTAGCATGAGTCACAAAATCCACAAAGTGGACACAGTGCAGGTGTCCAGGTACACCATGAACTATTGCTCACCCTTACAAAGGGAGGACATTCTGACACATGCTGAACATACCTGAACCTGAAAACACTACGTGAAGTGATCCAGCGACAGTGTTCATTTTTATGAGGCTCCTTGCGTACATTTGCCATATTCAGAGAGACAGAGAGTAGAGTGGTGGGTGCCAGAGTTTGGGGAGGGGAAGCAAGGAGCTATGAATTGCTATGAAGTTTCATTTTGGGGAGATGAAAAGGTTCCAGAAATGCAGTGTTGATGGTTGTATAATAATATCAATATGTTTAGCACCAGCAAATTGTACACTTAGAAACAGTTAAGTTGATAAATTTGTGTTATATGTTTATTAATCACAATAAAATTTTGCAAAAAGTAAACTGACATAATTTTGGTTCTTAGAGAAAAACTTGTAGGTGTTCTCAATGTGCGGTGAGGGTACAGTGATCATAGCACCCTAGAACAGGCCGCAAAGAAGAGAGTTTGGATGCCACGTGTGCATCCTAAGCATTAGGAAAACAGGTCCTAAAATAATTTAAGTAGATTTGAGTCCTGATCAGTGGATTAGGTGTATATTTCTGTGACAAAATCTCTGAGGATCACGGTTTAAAAGAGGAAGCATTGACTGTATTTTGACTCTCAGTTTCAGTCCCTGGTTTCAGACAGAGCTGGCACCATTGCTGTAGGCTGAGCGGAGGCAGAAACGTGGTGGGAGGGCCTGGTGGAGCAGGCTACTTACCTCCTGGCAGCTGGGAAGTTGGGATGGAAACAGAGAGAAAGGGGCTGGGGATAAATTTACCCTTCCAAGCAGTGACCAGATAATCTGCTTCATCCTATCAGGCTTTGCCTCCTAGCCAACGTATTCAGTTGCTCAACTCATAAATGGCTTAATCCACTGACAAAGTTGGAACCCTTGTGATTCAGTCACTCCCCAAAGCAGCCACACCTTCCACACTCGTGAGTCTTTTGCGGGGAGATTTTGGATACCAATCATAACATTTAATAACTCCATGGGGCACAGACCCAGAGATAGATGGCAGGTCCTAGGAAGAAGTCCCAAAGATATGGTAATTAGTTAGTCACACCATACATGGTCTGATTAAAAAAAAAAAAAAAACAAAAAATAACAGGGGCCAGGGATGTATTTCATCACCACAGTACCTGCCTGCCAAGCTCAAGGTCCAGAGCTCGGTTCATGACTCCAAAAAAAAAAGAAGTCCAGGAAGTTTAAACTGAAAAACTTATTACAATAAAGATCTGTTGCCATGAATACCACCAGAATATTGCCCGTTGCTTTGAATACTTTCCAAAGCAGATCTGGAAGGCCTCTTCTGACCTTTTT